GTATCTGGTCGAAGGTTAGTTAAAGGGTACTGACACCCAAGGCATGGAGACGCTTACTGATCGGAGAGCACGCCGGCAAGAAGCAGGAAGCCGCCAAACGTCAAGGTATATGCGGAGATCATCCATTGCAGGTTTGTGCTGGTCACGTCGAAGTCTTTTTGGATCGAGGAGAGAGCGACGTTGGCGCTGGTCATGTACACGTTATCGAGGAATTGGGAGCCCGAGGTCACCAGCAGGATCAGCGCGCCTCGCCAGGAGGCCAGCCGACCGATCTCCGGACATCTTCCCAGGGGAGCGAGGCTCTTCTCTTCTGTGGGTGTTGCAAAGCCAGATGAGGATTCACTATTCGGTTGAGAGGACTTGGGACTCGAGAAGACAGTGAAGTGAGGGCCCTTGGCCTCCTCGTCCACGACCGGGACCTCCTGGTCCCTGTTTCGAAAAACGAGGTCGAAAATGGCCATGATGTGCTTTGGATGAAGAGATAGAGAGGAGTGCACGCTACTCGCGGGGCAATAGTTATAGGTACTAGCTTGATAAGGACTGAATTGAAAAAAAATCTGATCCTTGAGCTGCTTAAGTAAAAGAGTGGGAATGCTCGACCGATGTGCCGCCATAGAGTTTCCCGCTCATCCAGACTTGAGCTCGGTCGGTTGCCGCGCGGCCTGAGTATCAGATTTGTAGCAGCAGTCTGGCTGTTCTGCTATCAGGTTGCTAAATTATGTGATCCCCTTATTGAGCGAACAATGATCGTCGCGGTGCCATTTGCGTGATCAGTGATTCGGATGCATGCACTCATATCCGACCGAGGCCTTCATTGGATGTGTGCGACCGCAATGGGTCAATTCTACCAGTATTAGTTGCAAGGGCCAGGGCTGAGTTTTAGAAAGGACTACTGGATTGGAAAGACTAGTCATACTGTTTTTTTCGTCCATAAGGTGCCATGAACACTTTCAGTTACACGGTGGCGTCTTGATACCTAACTCCAAGGCCATGTCTTACTGACCCTAGCAAGCCGCCCCACGCATTCATGCAGGAATCACAAGGGTGAGAGGGGCAATCTGACTGGGTGGCATGAAGCTTGTCCTGCAGCAAGCTATAGCTCTATCCAGGATGATCCCGCTTGAAATTATTCCGGAATGACAGTTACTAAGATGAAAATTTCTATTTAGAATGGGGAAGCTACTGTTGCTAACCCAGCTATTGACCAGGTACCAGGAACCCTATTGCCATGGATCGCTCTAACCGCTGGAGGATCGCAGGGCAGGGACCCGTCGAATGCTTGTGATCCACGTGCGGCCCAAGGTTCGGTGGAGCGCATTTTGACGCTGGCCCGTGCATGCAGAGGCTGTTCTTCAACTTCTTTGCCGACAGTCCGGATCTGATCCTGGGTGTGGCTGTCGCTAGTCCTTTTCCAGTCATCCTCTCGAAGCACTAGGCGGACGCTGAGGGTCCCAAACTGTGGTAGCGAGGCCGAAGATGCTTGGATATGCTATGCTATTTTCCGATCGCTGACTGATTCTACGACATCATTTTAGCCAATACATCGATAGCTGAAATCAAGCTCGATCAAGACATTGCCAAGGGGACATCCCTTGGCCGCGTCATTGTCTTGACTTTCGGATGATCTTCGTTGATATTGCATGAAACATCTCAAAATTCGCAGACTTTCAGGACTGGGTGGGGCAAACCTTTTTCTGCGGGAGGCCGCCTTGGCGCCGGCCCTTTCTTCCTGTCACCATGTGAGGTCCTAATCAGTCCAGATTGGTGGTTTCGAGCAGCAGCAGCAGGTCTGATCTTTGAGCCCAAGCATTGACATCACCACTCGGAATTAGACAGGCCTGGTCTTATGTGATGGCCCTCGCTCGAGTTCTCATCATCGGCTACCGCTGTTCACAACAACCCTTCCCACCGCGTTTCAAGATGGAATGCAAGGAGCGCGGCAACCTCCCCGTCTCCTCCAAGCACTCTAGCTATGACGCACGCTGGCGACAACCAATAGTCAGACTATGAGACTGTCCAGGAATCTGGAGTTGCGTCGCGCGATAGTATGAAGTACGCAACACCGCTTCGACGCACATATTCTCCAGACGTTCTTCCAGCGGCTTGAATTATAAGTAATTATTCTCGAGACCGGTCGGTCACCTGACGTAGATCATCTCCATCGGTCCGTCGTATCGAATCATCGGGAATGAGTGGACGAGGGAAGGTGTTGCGAGATGCGGAAATATCATCGCAGCTTGTGCGCAAGGGGCTTGGCAGTTATTCAGCCACAAACGATGGCGGCCCTGTTCTCGGGAGCGGACTTGAGACTTGCCTCTGCGATGATATCATTTGGCTGGAATAGGAGACTAGACATGGAAGGTTAAGCGCCTTGACGTATCGAAATAATGTAGCCATCAGTCTCCGTCGATGTGTGCCGTCACTGGAGCCGATTGCCATGGGTAGTACTGGCAAGTAGGGCTGGCGATTATTAGAATATGCAAGCAAAACAATCCAGTAACCCTATAGATGCAATCAGGTCTGGTCTGGGATATTCAGATTACATTTTTGAGGCTAGGCTAAGGAGTAAGATCGAAGTGCAAGGCAAAGGACTATCTGAACTGTTTTCTCTCCTCCGTTCCTATCCCTGCTATTTACGACCAAGTATTTATCAGCTGCCCCCTTCAGCTGTCACCCCCCTCGGCGGCTGATAGTATGTAGAAGCTGCCACACAAGTGCATTAGGCGATTATGTATCCACCAATTTCTTGCCCATTACAGTCCACTGGGCGTTCCTCGAGATCTGGACAGTATGATAGATATCGCTGCGTGCCTTGATGGCGAAGTAGAACAAAGCTTGCCGAAGGGTGACAGACGTATCCGACCAATCAATTACATCGGAGTAGAAGAGCCCGGTGTATCGCTTACCCGCAGGAACCTCCACCTTGAGAAAGATGGTTTGGTTATAGATGGATAGGTAGCCGTGCTTGAGCCCGAGGGCGGCCATATACTCGGCTATCCAGCCTTTTACATATTAGCTTTGGCGGTCGAAAATGGCCCAGAGCACCTACCCAGCACGCGACGTAGGATTAAACCCTCTTGGTTGATGGCCATCTGAAAATCGTGGCATCTACCCAAAAGACCTTAAACTCCCCCGTCGCAATCACTTGCCCCCCGATCGTGCGCATCACCGAGTCGGGACTTTGGTATAGTCGCTCAGGGTAGCTTTGAGGTCCCCAAACCGCATGTCCATACGCTGAGAGTCAAACACGGCTCCCATTGTCTGGCCAAAATTCTGGTTCCATCGACCTTGTAGGCCATTTCCGTCCGCAGCATAAACAAACCCCGGTGTTTGTAGTAGTTGTAGTCGGGGGAAATGTTTGAGCTGCCAGAGCTGCAGGCATTGTTCCCCAGGAGTAACCTTGCCAATAACTGATAACCTCCTGCCTGAACCCAGACCCAGAGTACGAATCACCCTTGAAGTCAATTAGATAGATGGCGCTGCTTTTAGTCTTGTTGGAATCACCCAAGAGAGGTAGAGGTGTCTCCAAGCCGATGTCCCTGGGGTTTTCGGTGCTGGATTTGGTATTCTTACCTTGTTTGCGCCTCACGGAAAGGAAAATTAAGCATATATATCGAAAGGGAGAAGGTTGAAACTGCAGTGTTGATGTTAGGACCGCCCACAAAAATCATAATAGGCGAAGATCTGAGCTTTGTGCGAGAAGAGAAGAGCTTGTTGATTACGATTGCTGAGAAGGAAGGCAGACAACGAATAAGCGGAGTTGATGGCCAGATGCGGGGTTTACGTGGTCAATAAAGTCCGGGATCCCGGACTTTATTGTCTGCGTCGCGAGACGAGTCTGGTGTCGTATATGGGTATCCACTACCTACTGCCACCGCTTCTAAACTATAAGAGATCATGGGTTGAGCTGATGTTATAGGGCTCGTTCATCGTGATCGGAAGAGAAGAGGGAAGAGGGATACTGCTGTTTATGGGATCGAGGCTTCCGGCTCTGTCTTTACGTTTTGGTTGATTAGTGATGCGTCTGAGGTATTCCTCTTGTTTACTTCTACCTGAGACGGTTAGGCTAATGTGATTTGAATAGATTACTTGGAGCAAGCCATGCATTCTGCAATATCTCGAGGACAAGAACGACACTGGGGCGGAGATTGCAGTGGGGTATCTTGAGCGTATACTTCACAACGCCGCGCAGTATCAAAGTGAGAGATAACTATAAGTTAGGGGGGATGCTGTTCGCCCGGCTTCAATTGCTAGCTCCGGGGTTTTGCTTCGCTTGTTAAATACTGTCAATCTCAACTATGTTTGCGTCATTATGCATCACTGGTCGGAGCCTTCTAACTGCTTTATACGAAAACTTGAACCGAGTCGCCTGGCTTTGCTTTAAGGTTAGGACACGAGATAACATAGGATGAGCTAGTCTAAACTCTGGCTGAAGTAGATTGCTCGATTCAGGCTCCCCTGTTATTCTTTTTTAGGAGATATCTACTCAGAATCGATGGGTCCGACAATAAGCTGTAGGCATCGACCCCCGAGGCACGCAAAAGAAACCTGAGGCAGCCTGAGGCACAACCGCCGCTCAGTAGCAGCAAACCTTTACTGGCTTCCAACCCCCCGGAAATCCACCCCTTTCTGTGACGCAGAGCAAGAAAGATAATCAATCTTAGTCAACAGCGTGCAATTCAACCAAACATCAAGCAGAAGCCTTGTTGGATCGCGGCTTGATGAAGACGTTCATGTCATCGATGAAGAAAGCGAAGATGTTTTCGATCTTGCAAGGGTGAAACGGGTCCGCCAATTCGATTTCAAAGTTTCGGAAGAGCTACATTTGTCAGTCCATCTCCTTGTCAAATGGAGGCTCGTGGCGGCGTGAACCGCATGAAAGGAATGATAAGGCAATGGAGATTATCTTTACCTCAACTATGGTCTTGTAGATCTCAAACATTGCGATATGTCTGTGTGAACAACAAAGTCAGTCAGAATTCCACTTGAGATCACCAAGTGGTGGATTTGCGAGACGCACTTTCCCAGACAAGTAGTCATACCGGCCCCGAAACTCATGTCTGCTTTTTGGAAAAGTAGAAGCTGTTCGGGGGTTGCCTCCAGATACCGCTCCGGACGGAAGCGTTCCACGTCCTCGCCGTAGACCTTCTTGTTGCGGCCTAAGGCCCACATGCTGAAGCC